TCCCTCCCTATGCCCTTTCTACATTCACAATCCTTCTACAACATTCTTTTTCTCTCAAGTTAGGTCCATTTCCATTCTCAGTGCATCTCCATCCTTCATGTGCTAATTTATATCTGAGGTCAGTTAATGTTGAGCCTCCATCTTCCTTCAGGATAGCCATTTGGGGTGAGGGTATGCAAACCGGGGATCAAAATCTATCCATCATGACTGAAGATGCTGTTCTTCCCTAGTCTGTCAAATAAACTACCATCCAAATTTAAATAAATAGCAGAGTCAGTTAAAATATCCCATGGCTGAGAAACATCTAATAAAAGCAGGTTGGCTGTAGCAATCTTAGACTTTTGAGTTGTATCAGGTGGGATGGGTACAATCTTTGTGGAACACGTGGAGTTTGTGCATAGAGTATATATATATGCTCCTTGTCCTTTCAAAGAGTCGTTTACAAAAGTATTTAAAGCAATCCTTTTAGATTGAAAAATCCTAAATCAATAGAATTTTTAGTTGTAATTTTAGGCAATACCCATGGGCTATCTTTAAATATCTTAAGAGGGGTTGGGCGGTGGTGGTGCATACCTTTAGTCCCTAGGGTTTGGGCAGCAGAGGCAGGTAGGTGGATCTCTGTGAGTTCCAGGCCAGACTGGTCTATAGAGTGAGTTTCAGGAGAGTTAAGACTGTTACACAGAAAAACCCTGTCTCGAACTCCCCCGCCCTCCAGAAGAGAGAAATCTTAAGAGGAAATGTGATGGCTGTTCTTGGTTGTCAACTTGACTATACTGGAATGAGCTATGACCCGGGAATGGAGGGCCCACCTGTGATCCAGCCTTGAGATGAAAAGACAACCTGCCTTTGATTCGGATCTTGAGGCTGGAAGACACTCACCTCTAATCGATCTTGCCATGGGGAACACACGCCTTTAAGCCAGGCCTTGAGGCTGGAAGGCACAGCCCTTTATGCAGGCCACACCTTCAACTGGATGTCTATATAAGGACAATGGAAAAAGGAAGGGCTGTTCTTCAGCTACTTGCCCTGGTCTTGTCAGTGCATCCATTCCTTCATTGGCATTGGGACTCCAGCATATACAGAAGACCAGCCGAGACACCTAGCATTGTGGGCCTGAGCAACCCTAAGACTTTCCATTCACAGCCGGCCACTCTTAGGTTAGTTGGACTGCAGCTTCTAAATCATTCCAATAATTCCATAGTGTGTGTGTGTGTGTGTGTGTGTGTGTGTGTGTGTGTGTG